AATTGTGTGCCTTTGGAATGGCAGTACAGCTCCTTACCACTTTGGATAACAAGATCTTGTAATAATGAATTTGCCACAGAATTCACAAGTAGCTAAATTTAAGCTTCTTGTTGTTGTCGTTATGTGCCGTCGAATCGCTTGCCACTCACAGTGACCCTATGTACAACAGCCCCAAACTCTGCTCTGTCCTGTGCCAATCGCACTGTCTCCGACACTCCCATCCCAATTATCCCAGTCACTGAATCAATCCACCTCATAGAGGGCCTTCCCCTCCTGCACTGTCCCTCCACCCTCCCAAGCATGATGTCCCTCTCCAAGGACCGGTCTCTCCTCACAACATGTCCAAAGTATGTTAGACAGAGCCTCAGAATCCTTGCCTCAAAGGAGCCACCCAGTTTAACCCTTTCCAGGACAAATCTGTTTGTTTTCCTAGCAGTCCATGGTATTCTCAATACTCTTCTCCAGCACCACAGCTCAAAGGCATCAATTCGCCTTCTATCTTCCTTAGTCATTATCTAACTCTCTGATGTATAACAAGTGATTGTGAAGACCATGGCCTGTATCAAACACACCGTAGTCTCCAGGGAGACACCATTGTTCTTCAGTACTCTGGAGAGGTCCCTAACAGCAACTTTTCCATGGCAATGTGCCTTTTAATTTCCTGACTGCTGGTGCCAAGACTCTTGACTGTGGAGCCAAGCAAACTAAATCTGTGTACAATCTCAATCTCTTCACCATCCATCCTGATGCTGCCAATTGGTCCAGTGGTGAGAATCTTTGTCTTCTTGACATTGAACCTCAATCCATATTGGAGGCTACAGTCCTTGACACTCTGCAGCAGGTGCTTCAGGTCCTCTTCAGTTTCAGCAAGCAGGGTTGTCATCTGCATAACGCAGATTGTTGATAGATTGTCCACCAATCTTGATCCCACATTTCTCCTCATAGAGCCCAACCTCCTGGATAATCTCTTCTGCATATAGGTTGAAAAGGTATGAAGATAGGATGCATCCCTGGCGTACGCCCTTCCCAATTTTGAACCATGCAGTGTTCCCTTGCTCTGTTCTGATGACTGCCTCCTGGTCAAAGTATAGGTTTTACATTAGCACGATGAAGTGTTCTGGGATTCCCATTGTTCTCAGAGTCAGCCACAGTTTGTTATGATCCACACAGTCAAATGCCTTTGCATAGTCAATGAAATTTAAGCTTAGAAAACAAAAAAGAAATACAATTGTAGCACTGAGAATTAGGTTTTTTTTTTCCCAGTGAGAACTTCTCTGATACCAAAAAGAATCTGAGGCATCCAGGGCATGGAGATTGACTGAACATGCAACTGTTCTTACCTTCTTAGTGGCTCATGAGAAGGTTAAATCCTCTCTAGTCCCAAGGATGACTGCAGGGCTGGGAGCTCAGGTGGCCTAGTGGCAAAACCTACACTGCAAATCCCAAAGGCATATGGTTCAAATCTGTCAGCTTCTCCTCCCATGCATTTTAAGCCACTGAAAACCCACTAGATGGTCAGCTATGGGTCAGTTCTGACTTGATGGCACACACCAACAACAATAACAATCAATCAATCAATCAATCAGCTGGTTCAAGGACTGGTCCATGGTCCAACCATGACCCAGAACAACCCTCCTTTGACTGGAGTTGCTGTGTGCTGACAGGAAAATCTGGAGCCTTCCACCACTAGAGGAGAGACTGTCCGAGACTAGTATCTACACGGGAATAAAAAGAGCCCAAAGATCAAGACATTTGGAGCAATAGTTTAAGCCTTGGAATGATAGAGTTTCTGATTTTCAAAATCTTCCTGTTCCCTCTTATATGAGCCTATGTTTCTTCCCACTGTCAACACACACATGTACCTACTGACATTAAAAAAAAATTACTACAAAAACTAATTTCAGTTCTGTTTTTTAATCTGCAAACAAGATATCTTAAACCAATAAATAACACACATATAATAAAGTGTCAATATATCAAATGTTCAATCAATATTTGTCCAATGTACATTGTACAGCCTTCTATCTATGAAACCATTTTAGTGCAGAGAAGCTTGCCTAACCTGCAGCCCATAACGGTAGAGATCTGAGCTCTTGTGTGGTCTTAGGTAGAACTCTTCCCAATACCACATTTTCCACTACTATGATTAGATGCTTAGAATATCTTAGTATCTATTAAACATTAGATATATGCTTTAGGTAGAGCAATCTTACCTCTCCACTGACAACCTGCGTACACAGTCCTACCAGGAGAGTAGTCCCAAGCAACATTCATAATATATATGTGTGTGTGTGTATATATATGTATATATATAGCGATTGTTTACCAGAGTTGGAATGGACTCATAGGTGACCCTAAGGAGGCAGAAATTCACAGGGGAGGGGACCGTTCTGTCTCCTGCACAGCAGGTAGATTTGAAATCCATGCCTTTTGACTGGCAGCAAAACTTCTTATCTCTAAGCCAAGACACCAGAGCTTCAACTAGATATGTAATCATTTCTACTGACCCAGTTTTGACTCACAGTGACCTTCCATTGGGTTTTTGAGGCTATAAATCTTGATAAGAGCAGACTGCCCCTCTTTCTTTCCTGGAGTCATTTGTAGATTCAAACCAATGGACACACAATCTTTTGTTTAGCAACACATTGCTATAGACAAAACTACCAGATATCTATATCTCTTGATGGATCTATTCATAGAGCTCTTTTGGCTTCATGATAAGGAGGTGTGCTGCCAACTCAAAGTTATGTGGTTCAACTACACCAGCTGCTGCATGAGAGAGAGATGGACAATCTCCTGCTGGGTTAGTTACATCCTCTGAAAACTCACTAGTAGATCTGCTATGAGAGGACTCAATGGTACATCTATCTATACAGCAATCTATCCATAGCTACATCTGAAAATATAAATATACACACACATGCAAATCAGGTAGGGGGTGTGTGTGCATTTGTGTCTGTGTAAATATACACAGATAGAAACTCATATTCATTGTTACGGAGTCAGAACCACTCCTATCTGACCCTCCATTGGGTTTCTCAGGATGTAAATAGCACAGAAGGAGATTGTACACCTTTCTCCCATGGAACCATTGGTGGAGTGAACAGTCAGAAGCCAGCAGCTCAATTCTCCAGACTATACCACCAGAATCCCCTATTGTTCATATACGTGTATGACTGTTCATTAGTAGTATACATTGGAGCACAGCATTTGTTTCAATGCATGTTTTAGAAATTATTTAGTGTCTATAAACTATGTCAAATTACAGATGACCAAGAAAAGTAGGATATAGCCAACTATAAAAAAACCAGCAAAAATAATATTCAAGTAACTGTAGTTTACTTGAACGATGAATCTATTAAAAAAAAACCAACAACCCCATATTCAAGTAAATGCAGTTTACAAACTGTGGAATTATGTTCTTATTCCCCCACCCTTTCCCTTTAATTACAACCACCAACTTTTCTAAAAGATGACAGCTGGTTGAAAGTAAACCAATATACCAAAAAGGGGTTGAGTTAGACATTATTATTAAGCAACTGATAAAAACCAGAATTTTCAATGGATTTTGAGCATGAGAGGAAAATGCCTATTCCTTTGGCTCCTCTACATTAGGACTGAAATAACATGCAACAAAAATCTGCCCCAAATGACTGGTCCTACCTGGTGCGACGATTGCATGTCTCTGCCTTTTAAGCATAGTCACTGGTAATCCGACAGACTAGTCTTTCTATTTTGAGTGATCACATTGGTGCGTCCTGGGAAAATGTCACTTCTTGTCAACAGTGCCCACCAGCGTACCACAGGTATTTCAGGACAGAAAATGAGTAGGTATGAACCCAGCAATTATAGAGGGGAAAGGAGTATAATCAGATCCTGGTGTGCAGACTGGGTTTTTTTTTTAGCTTGCAAATTCCCTCTTTCCACTGTTTCAACTTTCAAAGGCTTATGGTAGTTTAAAGGCAATCCTCTTATAAGTGTACAAATTGTAATGATTATAAGAAGAAGTTGTAATTGTTTCTAGCAAGTTTTTAAGAGTCTTTGATGTTATGATTAGTGTTTTATATGTTAATATAGTGATAGGGGTGCTTATTTGCTGGTTCCCTTGTACGCTTTTATGGTGTCTAGGTTCAATGTGCAAATAAATCTTTGATCTCAGTAGGTCTATTTGGTTAAAAAAGAAAGCTAAAAGAAATTAAACATGAGAAGCCCAAGGTTTTGCAATATTTACGAAGTAGTGGGATTAGGGATTTCACCGTCAGAGTACAGAGCTAGAGTCCATAAATTGCACACAGAGAACAGTGTCCAGAACTACACTACACATAAGACGGGTCCTGCATTATGGCAGAGCTGGTCCCATGACATACCAATGCAGAGCTAAGGTTCTTTTGTAGCCAGGGCATAGCTACATGACACAGTCTAGGCTGATGTCACACTGAGCAAATCAAAGGCAGTGCTCTGCAAGCCAGCGGCTTCCTCTTTCCCTCTGCCTTCTGCCCTTCAGAAATCACCATGGGGAAGAATTCTCAGTCTTCGCAATGGCTTCATTTTCAACCCTCCTCTCACCATGCGTGATTTCAAGAAATCGGCTGGAACGCAGTGCCTCCTGGAGCATGCACCTTGACACGAATGGCTAAATTTCAAAAGGAATTTACTTTTTGATAGAGAATGCCCAGGAGAGGAATCTAGGATTTCATCAAACCAGGCCTATGAGTGAAACTCACAGCCAGGGAAGGGTACAAGGCAGGCCACTCAAATTCAGGGTTAGATAAACGTACATGGCATTTCATAATTAACGTGGTTTCCTTGGATGCCGTGCAGAAGAAAATAACAGAAAAGCAGCCGACCTTCCTGAAAATGTAGGGAAAAGAGACTCACAGGAGAAAGAGGAAGAAAGAGAATCAAATTTCACTGTGTCCTCCCACTGCAGTTCATTTGCTGTTCTGCAAGGTTCAGATTTCAATACTTCCAAAGACAGAGGGAAATGATCTTGTGTTTACCTTTGCTGTACACAATGCAGTTGTTTTTGTTGTCTTCCACTCCTTGCCAAGTCACATCCAGAAGCCACTTGGGACCAGCCGTCAGCACCATTGGGACCTGAGTCTTTGTCTTCTGTAGAAAGAATGATAACAAACAGATGCCATTTGCTTTCGTTGATTAAAAACTTGAATAATAACTGTACTAATCATTTTATTTTTACAAACAACTAAATCTCCCCGACCATAATCCAGGCCCTTATTCCCCTGCCTCCTGATATCTTTTTAAGACGACAGAAGCTGTAAAGCTTTGCTGCTTTCACTAATCTGAATGGTAGAATTATTATCAAGGATTTTTTCCCCCTAAATGATACTGGATCAGATCTCCAAGATTAGACCAATCTCTTGCGGCTCTGAATTATAAAGAGAATGCAGATGACTTTCATTGCAAAGAGGAGAGGGTTTAGAAGTGAACTTTAGACACATTGTACTTAACTATCAACAGGATCTCACTATTTCCTGAAACAGACAGGAAAGAATTTAAAGAATCGGGATCCATTTCAAAGCTCTATCCTGAGCAACATTTATATTAGAGAAGGAACTTATTCAGAATGAATAATGAAATCCACCCAGCCCCCTTGCCAAGTGTGGATATGCAGTTTGACTATAACTGAAATAATAATAATGCTAATGAATCATCGTCCACTGTCCCCAGGAAGGCTACGAAAGAGGAATTGTAAATAAATGCATGTGCAGAGCAACTTAGGTACGACATCCCTTGCTCTATTAAGCAAAGGAGCAGGAAGATAAATTTCCCTTATATCGACCTTACAAAGAATTTTTCACTTTACATTTTAAGTTTCAGAGGTTCATAATCTTAGCCAATGGTGGGTACACTGTTGCTGAGTTTACATAGCAGGAAATAAACCAGAGAAGAAATAAGGAACCTTAGCAAGACGTTTTTCCCATTGGCATTCGGAATTTTATCATTCGCCATGTTCTCTCTATCAAATATCATGAAATGACAACACAGCACAAGAGTCTCAAGGTAGTTTGTGAATTGAATTTCCACCCAGATATGACCCTGTCAAGGAGATCACAGTCCATTTTGAGTCTTTCAAATGTTATATCCTATCACAAATTTCCCAAATTCTCACTAACTTGTGTTCACTTGAGAAGCACCAAGAGACCTGGTCATTTCCAGTGTCTCAAGAATCTGAGAAATTAAACTCATTTCACCCAAGCACAACAACAATGACAACCTATGACATTCAGTCCATTGTTGGCTGCAAAACCCTATTTAATACGAATGTTTAATTGTGACCTCTCACTTGGAGTATTTATAATGCTATACGAAAAATACAGACCTAAACCCATTGCCAAAACCAACCAACCAACCAACCCCTCATTACCTTCTAGGTGTTGCCAACTCATGGTGACCTGATAGGTCAGAACTGCATTCTAGGGTTTCTAAGGCTAAAAAGATCTTTTTGTAAACAGCATTTACAATGTTCCTAGCTCTGTATTTTATAATTTACTGGAGATCTGTTATTTTTTAAAATTACTGTTATTATTAGAAAATTATTTTCCAAATATTGGTTGGCTTCTATTTAAATGAGTTTTCTTTTTTATTTAACTGTAAATTTACAAATCACATTGAACTCTCAATCATTCACAAATATCTTTTTTGGAACATCAAATTAAAAGAAACACAAATAAATACAGTGCTTAATCGAATCCTTATTGTATACCACCTTTCCTGTTACCCAACTTATCCATTTATTAATTTTTGCATCTCCCCAACCCCCTGTCCCTGTTAACCTTTCGAGACTGATTCTTTATGGGACAGATCGCCTTATCTTTCTACCATGGACTAACTGATGGGTGTGAGCGACTGAATTTTCCTTTAGCAGAAAACAAAGCATTTCAACCACTGTATCACTAGGGCTTCTTTCTATCAAACCGGAACTGACTCACAGCTGACCTTGAGTTGTGTTTATGAAACTGTAAAGGGCATGTAAGTTGACTGTTCATATTTTTCCTTCAGACTCTTACCGTTCAATTTTTAAATGCATATGAAGTGGTTGAAAATATCTCTGGCACACTGTAATCCTTCAAGTTACATGTTTGCTTCTTAACACGTTGAAGAGGCCTTTTGCAGTATACTTGCCTAGCGTATGTAGTATGTCGTCTGATTACTCGACTGCTGTTTCCATGAGCACTGCTTATGGATCCAAGTAAAACGAAATCCCTGACAACTTCAATCTTTCCTACACAAATCACGAACAAGCTTGATACTGGTTAGCTGTGCGGAGTGCCGCTCTCTGGAGGCTGAGGTGCACTCCTTACTGAAGGCTGCAGGCTAGCAGGGCCTCTAAGCCTGTACTTTCAACAAGGATGTGCTGTCTGCATATTGCAAGTTGTTAATGAGTACTCTTCTGATTTCACATTCTTTTTCACAAAGACCAACTTCTTAGATTATTATAGGGAGGATACCCCCCACTCCCATTTTTCTCCCACAGAGAGTCTGGTAGATTCAAATATCTAGAAATGCTGAGCCTTTGATATAGCAGGGCAACTTTCTCTGGACACTATGCCACCAAGATCTTTAAACTATAAGATTAGCACATTTTTTTCTTTTTTATTTTAAATAAAATTTTTATTTTATACTGGTTTACCTACAAAGTTCATATACATTATTTTTCACACTGAATCTTTTCCATTTCCTTTACCCACCCCTCCCTCTACCCATCAAATTGTGAGACCCTGCCCTTTCTCATCCCTCTGTTCCTACCCCCCGCCATCCTAACACATGTTTTACTAATTATTTTTCTATTTCTACAACAATGGTCTTATACAGAATTTGTCCTTAACGAATGTAGTTAGTTCACTTAGGATAATGCTCTCCAGTCCCACCCAAATTAGGCAGTGATTTCAAAACCATTGATCCTGCGTGCTGCACAGTATTCTACTGTGTGAATGTACCATAACTTTTTAATTCATTTTATCTGGACTGTTTTCATTAAAACACTATTTCTATATTCCTACTTTGATGAATTTTAAAAGCTTATTTTTTTTTATTACATATCTTAGTAACAGGAAATAGTGACTATACACATGGACCTCACTTGACGGAGTGCAAAAGAATCAGACTGATTAGAGAAGCTCAATATTGTAAGTCAAAACCAGGCCAGGTGCTCACTGTAGACAGACCTTCAGTTATTTATGTGCAATTTCAAACTGAAGTTGAAGTAAATGAAAACAAACTCTAACGGTTTCCAAGTAGTAATCACAATAAACCACAGAAGAATGTCTACCATTTTAATAAACAATATAGGGATCACGTCACAGTATTTCTTTTTAGCATATATTCTCTTCTGATTATAAATAACACTCGATGGAGAGATTTGGTGACGTGGTGGACAGTCTCCTCCTGCACAATTTATAGTCTCTGGTAATCTGCTGGAAAGGCAGGTATGTGTTAGTTCTGACTCAACGGCATTTGTAGTTAGTAACTGAGTGATTATAATTTCCCACAGATAATATGACAAAGGAGTGGCATCCACTTCTGTAATAGCTTGCCTCTGGAAACCCTATGAACCTGGACAAAGGATGAAAGTCACACAAGTGTTGAGGACTTTCATTCATAGGGTTGCTATGAGTCGCCTACGACTCGACAGTTCTTAACAACAATAACACCAACATAGAGAGAGATTAGTTGGCCTAGTGGAGAAAAAGTGATGCTACCAAGTCAAAGGTGTAACTAATAATCTGCAGCCTTCAGGCCTGTTTTTCATTGGTTTTGGTCAAACATTCCTCTAGGTTGTATAGCTCTGGTGTGTCCACTTGCCATACAAAGGTAACGTGTGGTTGCTGTGAAGCTGAACATTGTGACACTGATGTGTCAAATACATTAATGGTTACCCATGGTGGACAGTATTTGGTGGAGCTCCCTGATTAAAACAAGCTTGGAAGCAGGAGTGGCATCCACTTCCGTAATAACTTGCCTCCAGAAACTCTATGAACCTGGAGAAAGGATGAAAGTCACAAAATTGTTGAGGGCTTTCATTCATAGGGTTGCTATAAGTTGCCTATGACTCGACGGCACTTAACAACAACAACAACAACAATAATATGACAATTATTGGTCACTTAAATCATATTAATCACATAGAAGTATTAAAGTAGTGACTTTATGGATTAACTGGCAAAAAAACCCATCACCTTTTATTTGTTTAAGAAATGAACAGAGTTTGGTGCTTAGTTCTGGGATCCACAAGTGGGTATATCCACAGCTCTTACCTTATGGAATAGAGTGGAATCATAGAGAAGGCACTCACTGGAACAGATGCTAAGGGGTAAAGGGGAAAGGATTACTGTTGCTGTGCAGAGCATGGGCTAAGGACTGAGCAGTCAGTTAACAATGATGGCTACTGAGGAAGTGACTTGTTCTCGGATCTCCGGTTTAGGTTTCCATGAAGTCCTACACTTGGCATATTGAAGACTGAGATGTGCAAAAACTACTGTCACCATCACTGCTGCCATCATTATGAAGAGGTGGAAAATGACACAAGACAAAACACCTCTCACTGCTGATGAGTTGGAACCAGGCCTAGGTGATCCTCCAGAAGAGTCTGCGGCAATCGTACCCTGCACACCAGATTGCTTATCTTTCCTTCCTGGAGCAGCTGGTGGATTCGAACCATCAGAGAGGCAACGTCTGTGGGTTAGTAACACAGCTCTCTATGGATCACAGCACCAGAGCTCCTTCAACAAATGGAAAAGGATTCAATACACTTGTGTTGAAGAGCAGGAGAGAAACGTATTTTGAACACTTTTTCCTATCAGACATATGCACTTGTCCTTAATTATGTAAGCAGGGGGAGCAAGTAGAGACTTAAAGGTAATACTACGGAGTCATACAGGCATTGTGTTAGGCACTTCCTTGGCTTAATTAACCCTCCTATGAAATTATATGTAAGGAAATTGGGGGGGGGGGGAGGAAAGAAAGAATTTCCTGTAAGTAAATAACCCTGAGAACGGAGAGCGCAATATTCCAGGTAGTTGTGTTTGTTTCCAAGGACTACCACATCCAGGGTCCCTAGGCATTCAAATTTGCTGGGGACCATATAGTAC